GGGACTTCCTGCTGGGAATCAATAACTGATGAATGGAGAGACTTTTTTTCATATTCCTGCTCAGACTAATATTTAGCTACGTGTATTCCACAGGACAGTGTGTTGGTAGCACTGTTTTGATCTATGCGCGCTGTCTTTGAACAGGAAGCAGGAAGGTTTCCTTCCAAAAATTTTAGTCAGTTTTGTAGATGTGGTTTGGATGTATATGATCTTATCTATGTGTCTAAAATCTATGTGAAGTACGGCTATAGTTTGCACTAAAGTGCCGGAATAAAAAGCATCTTCTCTCATTGCGCTCTGAAAGTTTTTTCCTATCTCTCGTTCCAAGACAGTGGTAACAGTTTTAACAGTGTATATGTACAGTGAAGCTTCTGGGCTCAGCACAAACATCAAAACGCCTTTCTCATCAAGCAGGGACCCAGATTGGTGTGAAATAAAGATGTGCACTGCTGTCGGCTTTCTTAGAAAGAAGGCAGGAGCCAAAAAGTAGAAATGCTGGCATCTTTTATTGTGCCAAGAAACTTTGCCAAAAATAGAATGGGATGAAACGCAGCGCCAATTAATCTGCCAAAGACTTTTAGTCAACTAAAGACATAAAATAGAGCATTCCCAGAGCCTGATCACACAGTGGTTACAAACCTGTAGGTTAAATTTTCACCCAACGAAAGCAAGAGAAAAATGTATTTAAGTAAATCAAACGGCTGCATTTAAACAAATCAGCCAAGCAACTAATTGCTTAAGCTCTAATCTGTTTCATTGCCTCCTCACCATTTCTGAAGAGGGACCTGCGTGACTGGCCTCCATTGAGAGGAGGAAGTGACTTCTTCTCCTGGCCCACAAAAGTATCCCACCGCACCTTTTCTGGTCCTCCGAGCTCTCTGGCTTTCTTCAGACAGCCTTCCAAGTATTCAATGGGGTCATCGGGCCGGTAGTACATCAGACCTGTGAGCAGGCTCTGGAGGAAACAGTGGAGGAAGATATTATGATGTATAGTTTCATACAATATTTAGAGAAGGGATGTTCACTGTGGCAGTGCTGCAGCTTTGTTACGATGTGCTGCTGTGGAACAGCGTGGCAGTGCTTGAACACACCACCTTAATGAGGGGAAGTTTCGAACTGCAGAGCATGGTTGCCTTAGCCCGGCTCCACCAGAGCAATAAAAATCTCATTTTGCCAGAAGTCCATGAAATTGGCCTCAGCCTGACAAATACACACATACCCCTGATGACCTTGGTGTTATTGTCGAGCAGCACTGACTGTGATGAATATGAAAGCGAACTCGACAGCCAAAACACAAGCGTATGTTTGTGTGACATTTGTCCTCTCGATCCTGTTTTCAAAACAATACCTTCCTCTGGGATTTCATCTCCACCCTCACTAACATCTCCCACCAGCAGCACGTTGTGAAGTTTCCTGAAAACAATTTGATGTGCTCATTTTCTGATAATGAATACACTGTTACGGGGCAGCAGTGTAAGGAATGAAAGGCAAAGGCAGTTATGATGATGATGACGATGATGTGCCACTTCAGTGCTCAATGTAATTTGAACTGACTGTAAATAAACAGGCACTGATTGCTTGCATACATTAGCTTGACTGCAGCAGGGGAATGAGTGTAATTAAGAGGATGAGCCAATTTAGCATCCCCTCAGGAGAAAGAATATATTTCATTATCATATTCCTGTGAGCTCTGATATGTGTCTCTGCTTAGGAATTAATCAACTTAATCGGACTTTGTATCTCTTTCACCAGCTATGACCATCTGTAACTTTCGTATTTACGTAATATCCCAGCAGACTTCAATAGCAGTTATATATATACGAGGGAGTTTGTAAAATTATGATTTCCCCTCTTATTTTAAGCTACTGTTTAATCCTGAAATACGCTTTCAGCCCACGTGATCCGCACCTCTATACCGTCAGATAACGTAAAGGAAGAATCTTTACCGTGACTCTGTCATGCATCTTGCAATGCATGGAACATGAATTAGTGTACTCTCCCTGAGCGCGAAACATACCCAGTTTGTCTCTTCAAAGCGTGCACCAGCTCTCACCTCAAATAGTTGCGGTATTTCCCGCCGCGCGAGATACTCCTTGGCATCGTTGGTATTCATCTCTAGACGGAAATCCTCTGAAATGACAACTTCTCCAAAGCGTTTGATTTTCTTTTCCTTTCTTCAGACGACTCGGTGCAGTAATCTTTGGTTAATAACTGAGCTCCGGACAGACTCTCGCTCAGCGCATTTTTGCCTCCTGTTTGTACTTTACAACTGAATTCCTGCAGGCAATTCCACCGCGCCACCCTCCTCGCTCGCTGATGCAGATGCGTGGCTTGTCCGTCTTCCCTTCTACAGCGGACTGCTTCCAGCACGCACCGACTGTTTGTGTGTATGCGTGTATGTGCCTTGACGTTGGGTTGGCACAGAGGTTGCGCGCCGTGTGCCAAAAAGCGCACGCACCGCCTCTGCTCTACATTTTCAATCGTTCCTCCTCAGTCTTGAAAGTTGGTGTTGATTCATGATTAATTCGATCGTGGGTTATAAAATGATGGTATAAAGCGGATCAAATATGGTAGCGTCTACATGTAGCTGAAATATTCTACTTTTATTTTAAACTTTTGAAAAAAAAATAGCTTATCAGATATGAGTCCATAAGAATATGAATTTTGAATATGTTTATTTTAAGTAACCATATTTTGTTACTAAAATAATTATGTTTCAATTCAGTGTTTGTAATGGAGTAGTTTTACTTTGGTAGCATTTTATTAAGCATTAGTAAGGTATAAGCAAGTGTTTAATGTTACTGTTAATGTTTACTGTTTACACCATCTACAGCTATAACTGCTACTACATCAGTGCTAGTAATAATCATAACCATAATCCTAGTCATAATAATATATATTTATAAATGGCAAACTAGGGAGGAGTAATGCTATATAAAAGATGAATTTACCACTTGCTAATGCCTTACTAATACCTTAACAATCCTTAATAGTGTGACATTATTATATTATTATATATATTATTATTACTTCTTCTGAAATGAGAGATATTTATTGACTCCAGAAAACTAAATGGATGGATCTATCCATTTTCCTTCCCTCATCCAATTAGGCTGCTGCAGTCTATTCCAGTGGGTGGGGTGGGGGGTGGTCTGATTTTCTTAATATTTCCATTACTTCCAGAGAATAAAACATGCAACATATCCCAATGCCCACTGAAATGTGTGTCAGTCTTTACTTCACATTTTTATTGCATTTGTAAATAGCTTTGTAAATAAATGACTTTAAAACTCCACATTCATACATACAAAGAAGCTCACTGGACTTTTGTAAAGACAACTTTGAAATTGTGGCATTATTGAATTGACTAACAGAGTGGAATAACCCGAACAACCTAACTCTAGGTGCAGCTAAATATAGCTGGATAATCTCTTAAATTGCTTGGGTTGGGTTGAAAAGTTCAGCAAAAGGTGGATTCCAGTGGACAGTCAGTCCAGCTTTTTTAGGCAACTCAGGAAGGAAGGTCACTTTGATTTCCTGGTTTGTTCCATAAGATTTGATTCTTAATGCCTCTAATCCTCTTGACCACAACGAACTTGTTTGTTATATCACATAACATGAGATTAGTTCAGTCACATCAATGCTTTAGAAAGCAATTATCATTCTAACTTGTTACCATTTCATACCAGAATCAGTTACTGCAGCTTGAAAATAAAATGTTAATTTATGGACTGAAGTTGAGTATTGAGCAGATGTACGCTGCTGAGACCTGCTTTGTTAGAGCAGTTAACAAAGGACATTACCACGATGAGCTCCTAGCAGGCACACTACTCGAGGAAGCAGGTCAAAAAGTTGCAGAATCAGGAGACGTACCGAGGATTAAAGTGGCTGGCAGTCCTGCAAAGGCTCCCTGCAGTGTGTCAAAACTGATTTTGCTGCTGGTTTCCCAGAAAATCTTCTGTGTGCTGGGTTGTGAAGTTGCATTAGAATTGCATGGGAGATATGTAGCTCTATTTCACAATGGGCTCCTGGCCTCTTTGACTTCTTTAGCAGTAACACCACGAGACTTTTAATGTCTACTGCCTGTAATATACTTGTCACTTCTCATTACTGAGTCCCTGACCAATTAGCTAACAAGGGCAACTAAATATGAAGCTGTCAGCATCATTTGATGACTAGTTTGCTTTTCTTTCTCTCATCAGGGCACCAGTCATATCTGGCAGAATGATGATGATGTCAGGTGTACTGCAGCCTCTTGTACTTAAAATAAGCAGCCACACAAAGGGTTTTTTTTCTTGTATTTTTCTTTGGAATTAAAAATTGATGTCAATGAAAACAAAACAGCAGACAAGAAAACAAACAAGGAAATAAAGAAACAGAGAACATGAGCTTAACGTATGGATGGCGACCCTCGAGGAGAAACTAACACAACTGCTGCAACTGATTAACTAAAAAAGTTAAAAACATTTTAAATGTCTATAAATTTCTCCAATAAACCCCAGCTTTTTTTTTTTTTATACAGAAACATTGTTTTTTTTCTTCATTTACTTACATTAATTACTAGATCTAGAAAACGTTCATATGATGGTGACGAATTCCGTCATTTGAAGGAGGAAACCTAACATTAACCCGTGCGTGCAAGCATGACCCTTCAGTGTTATGGGAACAGGATTAACTTGAATTAGGTTAGTTATTCTAAAATAATAAGAAAGCAAGAGATTTAAGTTTTTATTTATATTAATGTTTTATTTTCTTTCTCATAAACGTATTATGTTTGTGCTCTTCTTGTTATATGTTGTAAGTATGTTTTACTGCTGTGTTACACGAGCCTAGATATATTAGATATACAATGGATATGCACTTAAGTTGATCAGAAACAAATGACAATTAAACCTGCAGTCTCGAGAGAAAACTCAATTTGTTTTAAAACTGCTAACCCCCACCCCATTTTCTCCTTCTCATCTTCCACGTCAAAACCTTTATTTTGAAAATGTCTGCCACCGGAAACACTTGCTGAGTGGATCCACCGGTTTTCACTTCCTACATGTCCACTGCTAACAGAGCTGCACAATGAAAATACTAACTTTATTAGGATTATTTTCAGCATGCTTTTTAGCAAACAGCATCAACATCGAGGTGAGTTTATTATTTTCACGTAGCTCCGATTTTCCCTTCGGTTTGTTGCATTTTTAGGTAGAAACATCGTTGTCATGTTAGCCAGCCCTGCTGTCATGCTAGCTTTGTTGATGCTGAATATACTTGCTTATATGACCCCAAATCCCGATAAAACATAGATAATTATTCACCTTCTTTCGGTTATTTCACAGAATAGCGCAGGGCAGTTCTTCAGCAGTGGGCATACGAACAATTGGGCCGTTCTGGTGAGTGTTCTTTTATTTTTCAGGTTGAGTAAATGCTAATAGATGATGTTAGGAACAACAGAAGACATATATGTGCATCTTCTTCATTTGCCTTTATTAACAGGTGTGCACATCCAGATTCTGGTTCAACTACCGACATGTGGCAAATACTCTATCTGTGTACAGAAGTGTGAAGAGGCTGGGCATCCCTGACAGGTAATAATGATAACAATGATAACAACTTGATTTGTATAGCACCTTTTAAAACACACAGTTGCAAAGTGTTTCACAATCGGGATAAAACCACACATTTAAGGTAAGAATATAAGTTCCAGCACACAGACAAACAAACAAGCATATGGTGTTGCTATGGTCAAATATAATGGGAGAAATATTAGGGAAAACCAACTACTGATTCAGCCCATTTCATAGGCTGATGAAAACTTGTGTGGCTTCTAATATAAGAGCATGCTTAAGAGACCCTGTTCAGACAGTTGGAAGGACTGGCAATGAAAGGCTTTATATGTTGTTAATAATAATTTTAAAAAGCATTCTGCATTTCACTGGAATCCAATGAAGGGAAATAAGAATAGGGCTTATATGTAGGTGCCTGCTAGTTTTTAGCAGGCACCTACATATAAGCCAGTGTCCGGCAGCCTCGCCTCTGTCAGTGCGCCCCAGGGCAGCTATGGCTACAATGTAGCTTGCCATCGCCAGTGTGTGAATGGGTGAATGACTGAATGTAGTGTGAAGCGCTTTGGGGTCCTTAGGGACTAGAAAAGCACTATACAAATGCAGGCCACTTACCATCTCTATACAGAAGTTTTTAGGGCGAACACGAGAATTTAAATTTTGCCAGGACTGAGATGAGGTATTTGAGGCCGAAAAGGCTATTGAGGTTGTTAAGCTTAGCCAAAAAGGACCATTGTGTATTATAAGCATAGAAATAGAAATTAGTTATCCTGGTCACTGTAGTATTAAAACGATTAATCAGGTTGTTGAGTCACACAATCATGTAAGGTATAAAAATAAATTTCACTTATAATAGCAAAGACATTTAAAATTTGAGGAATTGAAACATATTTTGGTTCTATATGGTAGTTAATGAAATATTTTTGGATTTTAGACATTCTGAAGAGGTCAAGTTGATCAGTAGGTAAATTTATAATGGGGACCTTTCAATATTTTCATGCATGATGAAGAGAAACCAGTTTATTAGACATTATATTTTCCAGAGTAATCAGTGTTGAAAATATGTGACAGTTGCAGTCATTTGGAGATATTTTAAAGACTCAATAACATAAATAGTCTTTCGGCATAATAATTATTATTGCTGGATTTAACAAGATATAGCATATTATGCGGTTGCTTTCTGAAAGAAATATGTATTCTGACTATCAATTAATTAATCTTAGATGTAATTGAACAATCATTTTTAATTATCATTGTGTATTCAGTAGTTAAGGGAGAAATTTATTCATCCCAGCAGGTGAAGTGTTTTGTAAAAGTTGCTCAAAAATTTATTAAAAAGAGGTACAGTAGAAAGAGGAACTGTGTAACTGGACAGCTACTGCAATGAAGAAGCTCATGCTGTTAGTCTTTGGCTGAACCCCTGGCTAGCCAGAACATTGTTTAGAGGGTATGGGATATTTTACTGGACTTTCAGAAGAGTTTTGACATTGTCCTGCTCACTATTATTGCACATCGATTGTCCACGGCCACATCCGGGGCCGAAGCGGACTTCTGAATAAGTTTACTGAGTCTATGGTGCTGTCCATTGTTAGGCTTGGCTTTAGCTGAGAGCACCTCAGAACATGCTGTCCATTCTACAAGGTGCCTGTATTGTGTCAAAATGAATTAAGTGAGTGCTCAAAAGTTTTTCCACAGCCTACTTTGGTTTGTTGTTTGTTCTGGGGCCTTTCCCAGATGGAGAGCTGCGGTAAAATAAAACATCCAACGTGGAGAAAATGGCAAATACGTTTGACAAGGTCTGTTTTGTGTAGAAGGGCACCAGTGGCAACAGGATGAACAAGTGTGCATATACTAATAAGTTTTCATTTTATTTCGAGATAGTAAAGTTTCAGAAATCAGTCCTGGCTCTGGAGAGTTACACAGTACTTGTGGTGGTAGTGCTGGTTAGCGATTGACTGTATGATTGGTGGGAGCTCTTGATGTCCAAATGTCAAAAGTTTCAAAATATTCAACAGCTGGTCCAACTGTAAGATCAATAAACAAACTGATGCAATTTAATTTTCAGGCTAAATGCATTATCCTTCACAACATAACAGTTAACGTGTTTGATAGCAGCCATTGTCCTTTTACTTATTTCAATATCATCATACTAACTCTGTTTTTTCTCTTTTTTTAATCACCAGCCACATAGTTCTGATGCTGGCTGATGACATGGCTTGTAACCACAGAAATCCCAAACCTGCTACAGTGTTCAGTCACAAAAACATGGAGCTGAATGTGTATGGTGACGATGTGGAAGTGGACTATCGAGGTTATGAGGTCAGTTCAGGTGTTTACACCTCACCTTCATTCTGTGAATCAACACTTATGTTAGCCTTATGTGTATCAACAAGCCCTGAGTGATTTTTAAAGTCTAAATGCAAAAATTGGGTATTTTGAAGCCAGAAAAAGATGAATCGCTTGAGCATAATCACAAATGTTCATGACTGTTTGGCATAAATTGTAAATATTTTCCTACCCCAGACAGTTTGATTCTGCTCAGCTTGTTATATAAACATTTACTGTGATTTATGTGACAGTCTCACATGCTGTGTTTCACCTTCAGTGTTGCGTTAAATAACTTGAGGAGAAACGGATTATGTCCAAGGCAACATTTTTATTGACCAGGACATTTTATAATCTACACGTCTAAAATGGGGCCCAGCCGGTTTTTATTTATTTTTCTGATTATTATGGACTAAGGCGAGTTCGTTGTTTTTTGACGACTCACTCTGTTTTGTGCCTTTTTAAAAATACAATGACACTGTACTGCCCGTCTTTGTTTGCTGTCACACCACATTCATGTGCAACAAAAACCAATAATCATTAAAAACAGAGGAAAAAAAACTCAGATAGGAGCTGATTATCAAATTTTAATTAAAGGATAAGTGGAGAAGATCAAAAATGTGGTCACTTACTGATCCTACCAATGACAATTTAAATATTACGAATTGACTTTTCATCACTAACTTTTCTTTTTACTGGCTTTTGTTTTGTATAGTTTCAATCTTTGAATAGTTTTATTTAACAACTAATTTACTACTTCCTGTCAGAGACATAGATGGAAAATGACCACAGGTTTGTACCGTGTGTGCCTTAGGTAACTGTGGAGAACTTCCTGCGAGTTTTGACTGGGCGCCTGCCTCCCAGCACACCACGCTCTAAACGCCTCCTTTCTGATGATCGAAGCAACATCCTCATATACCTGACAGGTACTTAAAGGGAAAAAATGTACCTATGAAGTTGAAGTAATTAAAGTTGAACAAAGTTGAATTAATTATTTTTAATCTGTGGTTGATTAACAGGCCACGGTGGGAATGGCTTTCTGAAGTTCCAGGACTCTGAGGAGATTAGTAATGTGGAACTGGCAGATGCTTTTGAGCAGATGTGGCAGAAAAGAAGGTAAATAAACTGAAAAGTGACTTCAAATAATCCCGTTTGTCAGGTCTACTTTACTTGTTTTTTTCTTTGCCCTGCAGGGCATTTAGCTGTGCAGCATGCCAACAAGCATTTAACAGCACAAAACATCACAGCCTATGAGTATTATAACTTTATCAGGAGGTTCCCATTCTGTTGATTCTTTATAACAAGCAAAACAGATGATTATCAGAGGTGTGTTACGTTAAATTGATTCTCTTATCAAGGCTTTGTGTGTATCAAATGACTTCAGTGGTTGAAAGAGTGCTGTCAGTGCAGTGAAACTGTATACTCTCTATTCAGGCTTTTTTAAAAATAGCTTCAGCTCAGCTTGAAAGGTAGTGCTGGGCTTTCAATTGTCATTGGAACATCAACTTGTAGCCTTGATAGTTCTTTTTTTCCTGCCTGTAAATTGTAGATTAAGTTTTATATGCAGTAGGAATTAGAGCTGGGCGATATATCGAGTTTTTAAAACATATCGATATATTTTTATACGAGATATAAGATGTGACAATATCCTTTATATCGATATAGTCTATGTTACGTTATAATTATAGTTGTGGAGCCGCAAGTTTGCCTCTCTTTCGTCCACTTTTGTCTCTACGCAACGTTACTCCGCCTCGCCTTCACTGAAGACAACTCCCCCTCCTACCCCATCGCTTCACGTGCAGGCAGCGACAAGACGGACACGGCAAATCTCCGTTAACGAGTTACTGCGCATCGCCCCATGCGTGGGGCTGGACGGCGTCAACGTGCTAACGAGCTAAACATGCTAACGAGCTAACCGCGCTAACGAGCTAACCGCGCTAACCCTAAAATCCTTTCATTCTCTCAAAAGTTGATAGCGCGCCTTATGTATGAATTCTGGTTGTGCTTGGTGGCCGCGAACCGATTTTATGTGGTACACGGCGTTCAGCAATCTGTCAAAAATGTTTGAGTACGACTTTGGTAAGCTACGGAGCTGCACCGCTTGATAGATTGTCGGCGCATTACGGCTACCGAGGAGCTTCGCGGAGTGATACGTACTGTGCATCAACGTAATATTACCGTATTGTGTGTGTATAAGGACCATAAATGGCACCTGTAAGAGACGTGGTTATGAAGCGGATTTCAAACTCCAGGCTATCAGTCACACAGTAAAACTTGGGAACAGAGCAGCTGTAAAATCTGTCTGTCTTTGTTATTACGCTCAGCGTCTTTTAGTTTACATTTTGACTGCACAATTGTGAGCTCTTTGTTTAGCACAAAAACAACCTTGTTTTCTTTTATTTATGGAGCATTATTATTTAATGAATGCTCATAATTTAATTTTGAGTAATTTTTCATGTACATCTGTGCTGTATGTTAATAAAAGTGCCTGTGTGACATCTGGGACACAGCTTTGACTAAGAACTCTTTTTGTTCTTACTTTATGGCTTAAAAAAATATCGAGATATATATCTTATATCGCCATCCAGCTAAAAAATATCGAGATATGAATTTTGGGTCATATCGCCCAGCCCTAGTAGGAATACAGTAGTTAAATGAGGAGCTAAATGTGTGAATCTAAAGGGCTAACTTGAAGGCCATGAAACCATATATATATTTAAAAAATCTTTAAATTTCATTGTTTAAGTATTTTTCTTGCCTATTGTACATTCGTGATGGAAGCAAAAACTTGCAGGAAAATATTCACAGATAATATTTTAACTGGTTGAACCATCTATCCATGTTTTAATCATTTAGCTGGGCCATATTTAGTGAGTAATTAATAAATCAATAGGAATTGTTATCAATCGGTCTGAAACTAACAATTTTTTATGTATAGCTGAAGCTGAAGCTGTTGGATGTCTAGTTTTGTTAGTAAAATAAACAACGACAAATCTAGGAACAATGATTCGCTAATGCGTGTGTGGCAGACACAAGGTTTCTAGGCCATATCTGGTCCTTTGCAAAGTTTAATCCGGCTAGCGTATCACTTCACATCCGTCCCCCTTCGTTGTGTCTGTATGCCACACAAAACAGACGGGCACACTGCAGCTGCAAAATAACAAGCTAGCTCACAGAAAATGGCACAGAATATAAAAGCTGACTCTGAAGGCATAAAGAGTGACCTGTGTATATTTGCATTGAGATGACTGCTGTTTTCAAAGAATGAAATTTGCTTTGCCTTGAATCTGCACATCAGCACAGAAACGGAGCCAAGGACGGTGAAAATGACTAAAGCATACTGTACAGTACGCTTTACTGTAGCTGGGTTTCTTCCAGCTAAATCTAGAGGTTTTACTTTTAACTTTGTGAAATTTCACATTTCAACCATTGGGTAAGATTTGTAGAAATATATGGAAAAATAAAATTACAGATTCAGTATTTTGAT